ACGCATAATCATTGAGTATGCGCACGCATAATCATTGCTATACCTTATAATTCATTTCTTGTTGCCATACTTGTTATTCCAATGTTGTGTTGTTCATTCCCTTTCGCAATAGTTATTCCTTGTTGTAACACTAACTTTCTCCACTACCGAATGTGTTCTTAGATAAAGGAGGTAAGACATCTTGGTTGTCTACCATAAATCTTAAGCTCGTTATCTACCATATTCTTGGTGAGCCAATTTCACGGGTTCCTCTCTCTCTCTCTCTCTCTCTCTCTCTCTCTCTCTCTCTCTCTCTCTCTCTCTCTCTCTCTCTCTCTCTCTCTCTCTCTCTCTCTCTCTCTCTCTCTCTCTCCCTCTAACACATGTATGTGCAAAAGCATATGCAAATATGCAACTGATACTGAGGAGGGTAAAGACCAAGTAGGAACGAAAACTATTAAAGTAATCAGCCACCCTGAATATTCATCTCCACTCCAAGTGAAAATTATATTACATATTCAAATCTAGAACACATTGCTTTTGTATATTCATGCAAAGACATTTACTGGATGAAGAGGTGAATGAGTATCTAATTCTCTATCACTTTATCTACCAAAGGCAGTAATTGACTTGAATTTGGGTTTACATTACACTTAAATATGGAATTAGTATCATACAACCCGTAGATAGTTTATTTACACTGATTAGCGTAACTGTCCCTCTAAATGTACTTCTAAATCTTTATCGCCCTACTTGCTGGAACCAGAGATGGTATATATCATGACGCGAGATATCAAAGTAAAGGGCGTGTTCTTGTTTTTTATGACATATGCACCTTAATATGTTCCTTACGTGTGGTATTGTTGTAAATATATATATATATTTTTTTATATAATTAGAACCCAAAGGAAATAGTAGAGCATATTATATAATATAGAATATTATACAATAAGGCTATGAACATAATTATATGGAAGAATCAATATTAAGTACTACATAATAACCCTGATATGAAAGAATACATATCCATGTCTACATACATACACCATCACATTTATACAACGTGTGCGTGCGTGCGTGCGTGCGTGTGTGTGTGTGTGTGTGTGTGTGTGTGTGTGTGTGTGTGTGTGTGTGTGTGTGTGTGTGTGTGTGAGCTTAGAGTGAAAGGCGTACAACCAAGATGTGTTGACCCTTTTGTTGAAGAGCAATGCTGCTCCTCCTATGAGCGAGGTGTTGATGAGGTGTTGCATGTGTAAATGTTATGCGTATTTGTGTCCCCTTAAGAAAAAAAGAAAGAAAAAAAAGACTCATGAGGTACAGATTCTCTTGATCCAAACGTCCATGCAGGAGCAGAATCAGGACGAGCCTCGAGGGAGAAGCACCGACAAAGCTTACTAAATGCAAGTGGAAAGTATTAGTTCTGCAGACTGGTATTTCCAAGCACCGGGGAAATGAAAGCGCGATGAACACGAGTGATAAATGGCAAGGAGTGCAACACGGCAATAATATGAGGAAAGAACTTTCTGTGTGTTTGTATATATATATATATATATATATATATATATATTATATATATATATATATAATATATATATATATATATATATATATATATATATATATATATATATATATATATTATATATATATATATATATATATATATATATGTTTGTATATATATATATATATATATATATATATATATATATATATATATATATATATATATATATATATATATATATATATATATATATATATATATATATATGTATATATATATATATATATATAATATATATATATATATATATATATAATATATATATATATATATATATATATATATATATATATATATATATATATATTATATATTTAATATATATATATGAGTTTGTGTGTTGTGTGTTTGTTTGTGTGTGTGTGTTTGTTTGTGTGTGTGTGTGTGTGTTGGCATATATATGTGTATTTCTATGTATAGTATGTATATATATGTATGTAATGTATTGTATGTATGTATGTATATATATTTTATATATATATATGATATATCACACATACTAACTACAACGACACACATCATATAAATACAA